TCTTTAGTCATTCATAGTAATTGTGATATTGGAGATAACATTTGGGCCTGCCCCACTGTAGCACTTAATGAAACAATGCTGCTGGATCAGAGTTTTCTAATTACAATCTACCAAATACACTGTAAAATGTGAAGCAATGAATCTCAAGTTTTAATGTAAAAAATATCAAAGTACTTTACTATTCAAAGCAAAGAAAATGCACTATAATGGGGAGAGGGGTGTTCTCAATTATTAACCAAGAAAGAGTCATTTTAGGCTTGTTTTTGTGATTAAGTCACACAGTCCTAAAGAGCGGGTACATTCATATATTTAATCTTCACAAGCCACCTGAAAAGGTTAAATTGTGTGTGGTCACATGGCTAACTGTCCTGCTATTATAAGATTACATTATAATTTAATAGTTCCTACAGCAGAGTAAGAAATGCAAAAATATCTACAAAATGTCTATGATCTCTCTTACTTAGCTGTTTATGTAGTAGCACTGAACATATCTGTAATCTTCCTAAGTAGCTCTACTATTAAACAGGAACTTGGAGGAAATTCTTGAAATGTGTTTCTGACAGTATGTAAAACTGACAGAGACATGCTTGTTTGTTTGTTTTTGTCTTCTTTTGAAAAGTTTTATTAAAGGTCAGACTTTTCACACACCCATCAAACCCCTTAGCTACCAAAGCCTGTTCTAAATGGCTCCCTGGAGATCACAAAACTTTTCTAAATGGGAGCAAGAGAGAATTTGCAACTGCAGACAAATCATCAGGTCACTTGCAAAAGTAAATATGGAGATTTTCCTGGGACTCTAGGAGATGATAAAACCCCCCAAAATCACCAGGATAACTGTGAAATAAGTCCTAGTTGGTCTTCTCTGGTTTATTAACTGAGATAGTTTTGGTGTTAGCTGGTACTCTGTTCATTTTCCACCCATTTGTCTAAGCTGTGTATGTTAAACACAACTGCATCGTTCTACTTTTGTTTGTGAGGAAGCCAGAGGAGGGTACAACTTTAGTGACTTTCAGGCTTGCTGTACTATTTGTAAACACATAACAGTACTAACCCTTTTCAAGCAACAAGCAAAAGACCCTGGAGGGAACCACACAATAAGGTGTGCCAGTGAAATTCTAGTTCTCAGTTGAGATATGGACGGAAAATAAGCAACAATTATGTTACATCTTGGAACCCAGAATCACTTTAGCTCAGCTTTTCTAAGATTTGCAGGTGTTTAGTAAGCAGTTCAGTTTATTTAAACTACCACATAAAAGAGGTCTTCCTATATTGTTTTTTAAATGGGGTTTTATACTGAAGTTAAGAAGGAAAGTGGGGGAGGGAAGCTGCATATAAAGCACTCTTAAAAGAACCTCTTGTCACCTGAAAAGAATAAAATTCACCCATTATTAGCATAAGGTTCACTGCCATTTCAAAGCTGGCAGTGACTCATGTTACAAATGCACTTATTTTTAGGATAGTAGGTGAATGATGTTAACAAGATTCCTTAAAAAAGGCCTTAATTACTGGATAAAGCATTTTGGGGATGAAACAAAAGGTAAATGCACACGATGTGTCCCCAAAACTGCTCTTGGGCAACTGTGTTCACTTGGTCACCTGCAAGCCTTTGTTTTTTACTTGCTCAATAAATCATACCAGTATATAATGTCAGTCTGTTCTACAGAAGTTATCTATACACTTATAAAATTTAAACAAAGAACATGATAAAGCACTCTGCAGGTTATCCAGTGAAGACCATTCTGATGCAGAGTATAGGGCCTCAGCATTCTGTATACACTTTGGTCATACATATTTGCACAAAGAATTCTCTTGCAAGGCTCTGAAAGCTCAATCACTTTTTTCTCCCAGGGAGAAAAGTTATCAAAACTAAATGTGACTAAGCAGAAGCTTAACATCATTACTACCTTAAAAAAATTAAGATTCATTTATTAAGAGGCTCCCAAAATCAGTAAAAGGAAAAAAGGGAACTTAGAAATTCTAGAGCTGGCCAGCTGCCATGTGAGTACTAGCTATCCCAAACTTCCCCTCATGCTTATATTATTTTTGTTCGGGTTTGTTTCTTGTTTTGGGTTGTGGTTTGTTTTGTTTTTTTAATTTCTTTTTTATCTGTTCCTACCGTGAATTTTGAGAGTTGTTCTTTTACATCTTTTTGGAAAATGTACTGCTCCAAAAGGAGGACCTGGGCTGCCCCCAGTACAATGAATTGGGGCATCAGAGAAAAGCATTCCGGCTGACTGACACCCGGCTTACTGGTTCATACTAGAAGTGCTGACGCAACCTTCTCTCCATCAGGACCCACACAGACCCACGGCATGGCTCTGCTTTCACTTAAACCCAGAAAACAGGCCACAAACAGCAGACGGTGCATATTGGGCATCGAGAATTACGACATCGCTTGAAAAATAATGGCGAGGGGAAAGTTTCACTAGAAACTGGGCCTAAGTAGGGCACACTGCCTTCAGTAGGAACATTCCCGAATTTTTCCTTCTGCAAATGCAACCTTGTCTCTTCACAGCAGTTTTAATTCTAATTAAGACAAAGGTTTTTTAATTAAGCCCTGAAGATCCTGGTTGAAGAGCCGTCAGTGAAACTGTCCTTGGTGGTGCCTCTAGAGAGAATTCATTTTGAGAGACAATGAAGTGGATCTCTTCAAATCATCAGCAAAGACATTTGCCTCCCTGCTTTCTTGCAGCTCCACAAAGCAAACAGACTGAAAGAAACTGCCTACCCTTTGGAGCAGGCAAGAGGAAAGCACTGCTGGTTTCGCTTCTGGCTCCCCCCCACTCCGTTTTGCTCCAAACGCTGGTGGAATAGAAACTTCGCGTCCACATAACATTTCAAGGAAGCACAATGTGTAAGGAAGAGTCATGGTCACTACAATCTACAGTTCTCCACATTTTAGTTTCCTTTCCAGCAGCCGCCCCCCCCCCACCTGCCCCTAATCCCCTGAGAAGGTGGGGGGGGGGATCTTGCCAACTCTTCTGGAAAAGTCAAAACCTCGACTTCTTTTCTATGTGCTTACCAACTCTACCGCAAAAGTAGGTTTGTTTTTTTTTTGCCGCAAAAGGAAAACTCAAGTTGATTTTTCAAGAACTCAAAGAGAAATGCTGGGGGATGAGTTTCAGCAGAAGGTAGAAGAAAGGGCTTGGGGGTGGGGCAGAGACAGTACCAGCCTTTGATTTTTACCTTGTAAGAGCTGAATTCCCACTATATTTGCATTGAATTTGGGTCTCTCATTTTCCTTGCCTAGAGGGGGGTTAAAAAAGCTGAGATAAAAGGCTACAGAGGCAATTAAGGAAAGATTAGCAAACACCTCCTTCAGCTCCACAAACTGGAGCTGGCTTCTCCCCATTCCCCACATTCCTGGCCAAGAGAAAAGGATAAGGGCCTGAAAAGAAAGTGGGAGTTTAAGCTGGTTCCTCTGACCTATCTAAAAACTCTTTGTACAATCAGGGGGCTATTCTTTCACAAGACAGGGAGAAAGGGGCAAAGGATTCACGTTGCTAAGGAGACCTACTGAAGCTGGCATTCCTACATAATTTCCATTTCTATTCGAGAAGGGGAAAGAAAAGATATTTTCTCCAAAGTTTATTTGGATTCCCCTGGTTACTGGAGAAAGGCATTTTACAGATTTATTTTATCTTTAGTTGTAAACAACCAACCCTGAAAGAACTGAAAGACCTAAATGTTGACCTCCCGCTGCCAACCAGTCCCCTCCACAGTGAATTAAGCAACAAAGACAAAACCCTTCAATGGGAATTTTGAGGTGAGAGAGAAAAAGCCTTTTGTAAACAGAAAATTAAATTTACGGAAGGGACTTAACCAAGTGAACTAATCTCTCTTACAACAAGAACCCCCAGGCAAAAGCAAATCAGACCTCTGTGGCTTTCATGTGCTATTTCAACTTTGCTGGAACTTGAAAGGTTTCCAGAAACGCTTTATAAATACTCCTAGAAAAGACATAAGACTGTCACGGAGGAATTTAATGAGTTTCTCTGGATGTGTGTGTGAGTGTGCGCGCGAGTGTATGTGTGTGATCACAGGGCAGGTTCTCTCCCTTCTCTGCGCTGACGCCAGCAGTTTAAGAGTCAAGATTAGAAAGGGTTTGCAGCAAGAAATCAGAAGTTAGCGGATTTCTTCTAAAGGTGAAACTGGGGCGCTGAGGAAGGTAACTGGGGGAGTCAAGGGAGGAATAAAGCCATTTAATTCCCCTCTCCCAGGGGCTGGCATATCCTACAGTTTTCTTCTGTGTCTCCTCCACCTATCTCATCGCCCCGGAGGGCTCTATTTGCTGCTAGTGGCGCTGACTGAATAAGGTACAAAGTTCCAGGCATCGGGAGCTAAGGGAGAAGAAAAGAAAAGGTCTGGCCAAAGACCAGAGGGTGGAGAGAAGGGCGCACAACTCACAACCAGCTACCATGCCACCAAAAAAGGAAATTAAGCCTGCCCCTCTCCCACCTCTCTATATTCCCCTAAAACGTTAAGGAAATGAAACCCAACCCAAAACTCACTGGGGAAAACCCAGTTAGGTTGAGCAGAGCAGGCAGAAACGTGGGCACAGAGAGGTAAACTCAGGCAAATTTCTTCCAGAGAGGAAAGAGAAGAGTGGGGGAGCCTAAGTCGAAAACCTACAGCATCTTGGCGGAGTTGGGGCGTTTTTGCTTATTGCTTTTCTGATGAGGGTGTGGAAAGCGGTGCATTTTTTTTTAAGGCAACCACATGGTTCTAGTCCTAAATGATAACAATTGCCCAGAATAGCAAACGTGTTACTCCAGAGCCAGGGGAATGGCCAGGGAAGGAGGGAGAGGGCGTGGGACCGCGCTTTAGGTTTGCAGACCGAGTCTGGGAAGGAGAGAGGGCGGACATCAGGGAGACTAGCGGCTGGTGCCCGAGGCTCCGGGAAAGGCCAGGATGGGTGGGAAGGGCACGCATGGGTAGGGACACTCAAGCAGGGACAGTGGGGCGGGGGCGGGGGCGGGGTCGCGGCGCCAGGCCCTCACCGCTGCTGAGCGTGGACTCGCAGTGCCAGATGTCCAGGCTGGCGGGCTTCCGGCAGGACTCCCACAGGGACAGGTAGTACTGGTGGTCAGCCGTGACCCAGGCCGGGCTCAGTACGGCGCCCAGGTCCAGACACAGAGCCAGGAAGATGCACACCAGCCCGACCAGCTTCAGCGGGGTCAGCACCGACACACGCACCTCCTCCATGCCGCTGCCCGCCGAAGCCATGCCCGTCAGACGGGACGGAGAGCGGGAGCTAGCTGCTGGGGAGGGACGCGCACCGCGAGCAGGTTCTGCGGACTGCTGGCCGAGGCGAGTGGCAGCACCGCAGCGACGCCGCTCCTGAGCGGACCTTCACCGCTGGCCCGCGCCGCGCTCTGCCCGCGCCCGCGCCTGCTCCGCCCCACGCGCTCGCTCCGCCCCGACCCCGCCTGGCTGCGGGAGGGGCGCCAAGCTGGCGGGGCGGGGGGCTCTGGCTGCTCCTGCTCTGGTCCCACCCCAGGTCCTTCCGTCCTCCTGTCCGCCAAGTGGGAACCCTCAGTCCCCTATATCCCCCGCTTCGCCCCGCGTGCCGCCTGGCCCTGCGAGATGCTGGCCTCGCCCCTCCTGCTGCTCCAGGGTCGCCGCGCTCTCCCTTTAACAAGTCACTGAAGTGTCCTTTCCTAGTGATCGCCAGGGGTCGTTTTCTAGAAGACCTTGATTCCTAGGTTGCCTGCCCGGTTGCTGGCAGAGCCAGAGAGGTCTTTTTCTCTTAAGTGATGTGACAACGCCCGCCGCCGTCCCTGGCCAGTACCTGAAGGCCAGAGGGAAAAAAGTGACACAAGACATTTTGTCCTCCCTTTTCAAACCTGAGATGCAACAGTCGTGGCTCCAGTAACGCACACTCTCCACTCCCCCACGCCCCCACTCTCCATCCTCTGGTTTTCAGTCTCCTAGCTTCTGCCTTTAAACCAGCTGTCCTTTCTGTTCCCTAGGTTCGCCTCTTCTGCGCCCCCTATGAGTGGCGTTTGTTTGAGACCACTGGAGCCAAAAGGGGAAGGAGCTCAAGGGGAAATGTGAAGGAAACCTTTACATCCTTACTAATTTTATCTGCTTTTTTTGGTTGTATATTTGCTAAAGCCTTGAAACTTTATCTGAATCCTTCCCTAGACTTTACGTTGTTTTATCCTCCATAGGACTTAGCCCTTGATTTGACTTCTGAAAAGTAAGGTATCTTTGCTAAACAGAAAACAAATCAATCTCCAAATATTTATTGAGAACAATCCTCAAGGATACAACACAGTTGTAGCTGGACTGAGAGGGACACTTTATTTGTTTTCGTTTGCCTTTCTATTCATGAGTACTATTTGCTTTTTTTTTTTTACAATATAAAATTAGAATTCCATTTTTTAAACTATTTTTCATCTTTCTTATGAAAGAATTTTGGAAGCAGGAGTGGCATCCACTTCCTAAATAACGTGCCTCCTGAAACTCTATGAACTTTGTTGTCGGTCGAGAGTTGTAGAGGGGCTTTAGGCCTTTTGTTCATAGGGTCGCTATGAGTTGTGCTCGACTCGAAGGCAATTAACAACAACGTGAAAGAAAGAATAATTTATTGGAGATAGTTAACGAGAAAAGTTTATAAATCCTTCCATCTGGAATATTTGGTGATTGTGTATCGAATCAGGACAGACTCCTAACTGACCCTCCAGCGGGTTTTCACACAAGAAATGACTGTACATCTTTCTCTAGCAGAGTGGCTTGTTTGGCATGCCTTTGGGTTAAACTTATCACAAGACCACCAGGATTAATAACATTAATAATAATAATGTTGTAGTAATGGTGTACCGTAGACTCAGAACCAACCCATAGATGACCCTCAAGCTGGTTTTCAGAGGCAGTTAATCTCATGGGAGGAGATTGCCCATCCTTCTCCCACGGAGCAGCTGGTGGCCTAGAACCCTGTGCCTTCGGGAGTACAGTGCAACTTCTTGCCTTGCCACTAGGCCACCAGAGCTACAATAACGATGACATTAATTATTTTTATGTATTATGTTAATTATTTGGAAGCAGGAGTGGCATCCACTTCCTAAATAAAGTTGCCTCTGGAAACACTATGAACTTTGAGAAATGATGGTAGCTATAGAAAGGCTTCAAGTCAGCTATGGGTCAGTTCTGACTCAACGGTAAACAACAACGACAAAAATATGTTAATTATGGAGTTATGATTATTGTTGGGTGCTAAGTTCCTCTTTTTCGCTGACCCAAGTATCTCTTTCATTGTCATCAGATTAGAACCTACTCATAGCAGGTTTTCAGAGACTGTAAAATACATGGGAAGAGATTCTTCATCTCTCTTCTGTGGAGCAGCTGCTGGAATGCAAGGATGCCATCCAAAAAGGTGAATGATTGAATACTTCAGCCAAGAGAGATAAAGCAGTCTGCTCTCATTAAGATGTAAAACCTCAGAAATCTGATGGAGGGTTGCTACATGCCAGACTCAGCTCAGAGAATTTGAGTTTGCATTAGTTTTGGTAAGATATTCTCCAGGGACTGCTCTCCACCTCTGATAACATGTACAAAGTGTGAGACAAGGTTTCTCCGTCTTCTCTTCTAGTCAACATTCTAGCTGCACGTATTGCAAGATCAGTGATATTGTTCTTTTGGCAGCCCATGGGATACTCAACATTATTTATCAACATCATAAATCCTAGTGGAGAGGGGCGCTTTTGGATACCTAATTGACAGATCTAAAAGAGCTTTGTGATATTTACCCTAGCCCGACAGAGGGCCAAGGACCTCAGGACTCAAGAGGACTACCTGGGTGTGGAGCAGAAAAAAGGCTGTCCTGAGTGGAAAACTGTATCCTGAGCATTCCTACTCCACAACAATAGCCTGTTAACTTTTCTGATAAATCCTAAACTGTGAGTGAGGTCTGTGATTTCTGCATTGGTATTGCAACAAATAGGTAACTCGGCATAGAACAGTGATTGTCATGAGAGTGACAGTTAATATCAGAAATGGTCAGAATGTTGGAGGCTTTTAGAGGCATGTCTAACTCAGTCTCGGGTTTTAGATGCAGGAGATTTTCCTCACTTCTGAAGTTACAGGTCAAATGACACACCACTTTTGCAGTTGATAACAAGTTGTTCTCTTCTAGCCACATCTTCAGACATCAACATTTTGACTGAAGCATCCTTTTGAGTGTAAGAAACAACTGAGTTTGTGTCAAATGACTTGAGAATAAGAACCAATTCAATGTGAAATAAAAAACCTGTGGTTTTCTTATATTTGGAAATCAGAAAACTGGCAACTTTCTGCTATCTTTCAAGCATTATCATGATAGCAATTGCAAAAATCTTAAGAATGCCTACAGCACTCTGAGTTCTCATCTATAACATCCAACAAGCTTTTTGGTCTCCTACATAGAAATGTTATCTGAGTATTCACTGAAAACAATTCCTGATAGAACATTGAAATGTTAAATACTAAGAAGATTAATAAAGGTGACCGTGATTATGATGTTTTCATTTACTCAGAATTATTTTATAAATATTTTTATTGTGTTTCATTCATGTACTTTTTTTTTTCGCTCCCTCCTTCCACCCATCAATATCTTCTACCCCGTGATTACCCCTAGTCCTCACCCACAGCCTCCCTGCCCCTTCCCTTTCCCTCTTTATATATCCATACACATTTCACTGGCTATCTTTCTGTTGTTACAATTATGGTTCTTACACAGTATTTGTTCTTACGCACCTGAGTTAGTTTACCAACCATAATGCTCTTTAGCTTCTCCCATGTTATACAGTATTTTTCAAAATCATTGCTCCTCTGCACTGCATAGTATTCCATCTTGTGAATGTACCATAGCTTTTAGAAGAGGCACTAGGGATAATAGAGTTAATGTTAGATGGAACTTGGCTGAAAGGAGAGAGATCCAGAGGACTGTCTGTGTTTCATTGATTATACAAAGGCATTTGATGGTGTGGATAACAACAAACTGTGGCTGAGAAGAAGGAGACTCCCAGAACATTTGATTGTGCTTATGCACAAAATCTATACTTGGACCAGGAGACAGTTGTCAGAACAGAGCAAGGAAACACTGCATGGTTTAAAATCGTGAACGGTGTATGCCAGGGAAATGTCCTCTCTTCATACCATTTCAATCTTTATGCAGAGCAGATTATCCAGGAGGCTGGGCTTTAGGGCTTTATGGAGGAAGACTCATCAACAACCTGCATTATGCAAAGGACACAACCTTGCTTGCTGAAACTGAGGAGGAATTGAAGCACTTGCTGAAGAAGATCAAGGACTGTAGCCTTCAATCTGGATTGAAGCTCAACATCAAGAAAACAAAGATTCTCATCACTGGACCGATTGGCAGCATCATGCTAGATGGTGAAGAGATTGAGATTGTTAACCACTTTAGTTTGCTTGGCTCCACAATCAATACTCTTGGCGTAATCGGACAGGAAATTAAAAGAAAAATTGCATTGGGAAAGTCTGCTATCAAAGACCTCTCCAAAGTACTGAAGAGCAATGGTGTCAGTCTGGAGACTAAAGTGTGCCTGAGTCAGGCCATAGTCTTTGCAATTACTTGCTGTGCATCAGAAAGCTGGACAATGACCAGAGATAATAGAAAGATAAGTGATGCCTTTGAGCTGTGGTGCTAGAGTATTGAGTATATACTGCATGGACTGGTAGGAGAACAAACAGGTTCATCCTGGAGAGGGTGAAACTAGGCTGCTCCTTGGAGGCAAAGATTCTGAAGCACCATCTGACATATTTTGGGCACATTACAGGAGGGACCAGTTCTTGGAGAGGGACATTATGCTTGTAAGGATGGAGGGACAGCACAAGAGAGGAAGACCCTCGATGAGATGGATTGACTCAGTGACTGGAGCAATGGGGATAGGTGTGTCAGAGACAATAAGGTTAGCACAGGACAGATCAGGGTTCAGAGCCGTTGTAAATAGGGTCTCTATGGGTTGCAGGCAACTTGATGGCACATAACAGCAAAAACAACAACAGTACATTCAAAATAATAAAAATATGGTTTTGTCCTAGTAAGATGGTCTTGGTCTTTGGCTCCAGGGAAATTACCCTTGAAATCATTTGAGAGCCTCAATATGAAACTTCGAGATCACGCTTAGGATTTGTTCTGGCAAATAGAGGCTGGCCAGACCAAAAAAGACTCACCTGGGAGGCTGAAATCAACTAGTGTCAGGCATGATTTAGCCTATCAT